CGTCTCAGTCTGTGCTTCCGTCTCCTCCTGAGTCGGCCCTCACTGTGTCGCTCCCTACTCCTGTCACTGACTACTACCGCACGTACCGTCCTGTTCTCTCTCGTGTTCTCGCCTCTCTTGTTACTCACCCTCGTGCCTCTGTGTCCTCTGTGTCCGCTCTTACTGCCGCAGTTACTGACTTTGCCTCTACCCGTCGCCTTGACTACGCCACCACGCTTGTGGCTGCTCCTCCTACCAGTCCTCTGGCCGTCGGGGGTGTGTCTGCCCTTGGCTGTGACGCCCTAGAGGACAGGCAGTTTGAGCTAGAGTTCCTGGCGGCCGCTTCCCCTCATCTCTGTGCCATGCTCCTCGCCCCTGAGGGTGACCCCGACGCCCTTGACATTCCGACTCCTCGCACTTACGCTGAGGCAGTGTCAGGGCCTTGGGCCTCTCAGTGGAGAGCTGCCATGGACGCAGAGATGGCCTCCTACAGATCCACAGGCACCTACGTCGATGAGGTTCCCCCCCCCTGGGGCGAACGTAGTCGACGGCATGTGGATCTACAGGGTGAAGCGGCCACCGGGATCTCCCCCGGTCTTCAAGGCGCGCTACGTGGCTAGAGGTTTCAGTCAGCGCGAGGGAGTTGACTTCTTTCAGACCTTCGCACCTACCCCGAAGATGACCACTCTTCGGGTGTTACTACACGTAGCAGCACAGAGAGACTACGAGTTACACTCTCTTGACTTCTCCACTGCTTTCCTTCAGGGCAGTCTACACGAGGAGGTCTGGTTGCGTCGTCCCTCGGCCTTCACTGGCACTTTCTTTCCTGGGACCCAGTGGAGGCTGAGGCGACCTGTTTACGGTCTTCGCCAGGCCCCTCGTGAGTGGCACGACACTCTGCGTTCTACCCTCTCTGACCTTGGGTTCCAGCCGTCTTCTGCCGACCCGTCGCTGTTCGTTCGCCGTGGCTCCACACCGTTCTTTGTTCTGGTCTACGTCGACGACCTCGTTTTCGCCACTCCGGACAGGGTTGCTTTGGCAGACGTGAAGTCCGAACTGCAGAAGAGACACACGTGCACTGATCTTGGTGAGCTGCGCCACTACCTTGGCCTGCAGATCACCAGGGACAGAGCCGCTCGCACCATTACACTCTCACAGTCACACATGGTGCAGCAGGTCCTTCAGCGGTTCGGGCTTCAGCACTCCACCGTATAGCGCACACCTCTAGCTGTTGACCACAGACTCACTGGTCCCTTTCCTGACGAGCCGTTTGAGCCTAGTGGTCCCTACGCAGAGCTTGTGGGTTGCCTCATGTACCTGATGACTTGTACTCGCCCGGACCTCGCCTTCCCTCTCAGCATCCTTGCGCGCTTTGTTGCGCCAGGGAGACACCGTCCTGTTCACTGGACGGCAGCTGTGAGGGTGGCGAAGTACCTAGCGACTACATCAGGCGTGGGGCTAGTTCTTGGAGGGCAGCAGTCTGTCGTACTCACTGGTCACTGTGACTCCTCTTACGCTGACGACGCTGAGACTCACAGGTCTACTCAGGGGTACTGTTTCAGTCTGGGTTCTGGAGCTGTTTCCTGGCGTTCCACGCGCTCCTCTTCTGTCTCGACCTCTACAGCTGAGGCTGAGATTTACGCTGGTGCCATGGCGGCACAGGAGTTGCGGTGGTTGACCTTCTTGCTCGCCGACCTTGGTGAGCGGCCGAGCTCTGCACCGACCTTGTTTACTGACAACAAGGCGTCGATCCTCCTCTGTCGTGAGCCGCGACTGGAGAGCAGAGTGAAGCACATTCACGTCAGGTACTTTCTTCTGCGAGAGTTGCAGAGGCGTGGACAGGCTCGCTTCGAGTTTGTAGAGTCCGAGGCCAACACTGCAGACATCTTCACCAAGGCGCTTCCGCCTTGTGACCACCAGAGGTGTTGTGTGCAGTTAGGCCTTGTTGACACAGGTTCTAGTCATGCGTAGACTTGAGTTTATTGCCTGCTTCGTCTGTACACTTACTATATATACTTGTGATCTCTTGGACTGGCCTTGTGGCCACTGTTGCTTGTGCTCAGAGTGTGTGGTGACGTTGTGATCCACCCTGAGCTTTGTTTTCTTTTGGACTGGTCTTGTGACCGTACTCTTTTTTTTGTTTTTGCTAGACACCCCTCACTTAGGCTATGGGGGTGTGTCAAATGTTGTAGCCTGTAGTGAGGTTTGTCTTAGGGGGTACAGAAGTTAGGGTTTGTCATATGTACCCCAACCAACATCAACGCAACATCCATTCCTCATTTTGACACTCAATTCTCCATTGTTTTGTCCCTTCAATAGCCTCAACGGATTCCCCTCTCCTCCTCCCCAAAATCGCAGTGCCTCTGTGTCTCCCTGTATTTCATTCACCTTTACTCCCTCCCTCACTCTCTCCCTATCCCCCTCACCCCAGCCATCGGATCAGCGGCCGCGCATAGCCGAGTGCTTTGACAAGCTGATGGCGGATGTGGGGCGGAACCTCGACCCCAAGAACCGAGACAAGTTCACTCAGAACCTAACCATTTTCCGGCACGACTTCCGTGCTAAGTAAAGCCACTGCACCTGTGCCAAGAAAATTGCGGCATGACGGTCCGGTTTACTTTGAAGGCGCCAAAATAATGCTTTCCAGGTGCAGCCAGCCTGGTACAGTGCGTGCCCTTCTCTCCGCTACAACTGGATCAGTATACAACCGGATCAGCACCGCCGGTACAATGCCTCTGCTACAGTATCTGCAGTTTAATGCCGGAGAAAAAGAAGAGAAAGGCAGGAAAAGGATGTGCTAACCATCTTCCGGCAGCATTTCTGTGCCAAGGGAGCTTGACACAGTCTGCTCACTTCTAACACCCAAAACGTTGTAGGCTGGTCAACCGGGAAAAAGAAAAAAGGGTTTAGGATCAAATCAGTTTTATCAGCCAGTCAAGTGATGATTTGAATTTGAAGGAATATATCTTGGTACACCAGTTGAATTTCTCTGAATAAATAGGTGCACCGTCCGTTTACATTCTACAACCGCACCACGTCGTTTTGCTAGTCTGCTAGAACCAGCGGGATGCTAGTCTGACAGAAATGCTAGTCTGCCAGAACCATCAGGACATGAGGGGAACAAATGGCTAGCTGTTTCCAGGAGGCGGAGAAAATCGCCTAACTGGTTTGCAAACGAAGAATAAGAATCTGCGGATTCAGCGTGGGACCTGCGAGGAAGCATGAGAGTTGTGGGAAGGGATACAGGATGTCATAGTACGGTTCGCATGATGTTTGCGGTGCGTGGAATGAATGTGAGGTCTATGAAAGGAAAAACGGGAGAGACGCGGAACAGGCAGAACAGTAGCGTTGCGTGTGACGGGCACGGCCCGTCAGAAAGCTATAACTGTAAGGCAAGGAGGAATGGTATATATATGTATATAAAAGCGCAAGCGTAGGAACTTGTTGAGAAACTCCTGACGGAAGAGGGAGGGGAAACTGAAACCGTGAACCAATGGCGCGGAACAAGAATCTAGGAAATCCGCCGCGAAGAGCTGCAAGGATCCTGGCTGTCAGCCGCGATTTCACATCAAAGCGCACAACCTGAGCGTGAGTTAGTTCCTCAACGCTCAGCAGTACGCCCCGAGCGAGCGACGACACGGAAACCACGGAATGCTGAATCAAAAGTTGATTGAAATTTCTACAGAAGCAATTTCTGAAATTTTCTATAAAATCGAAAAAGCAGAGCCAATAACGGCACCGAACAGAGGAGATGAAGCCCAACAAGAAGAGCACTCGCAAGAACTAAGGCCGTACTACGGTGCTTTACTTCGCTGTATTAGAAGACAAAGGTAATTGAAAACCAAAGCGCTACGACCTAAGGCTACGAGGACTGACGCGCCGCCGCCACTCCCGCCAGCGACAATGCCTATGTGTGAAAGCTGAGGATGTGGAACAAAAGCTGCTCTCTATCGAAACAGAGAGGGATGAATTGAGAGGCACGAGTTTGGGTTGAAAGGATGTATCGTGAGGAAAGCTCTCAGCTTCCCACGCCAGCAACCGGGCCCATACCGCAGAAATGGACGGTGCAAATTTCGGAAAATAAGAACGAAAGTTTGAGGAAATGTAGGCATACCTTTCTCGGCCTTTTGGCTAAGATCAAGTGTAGTATCTGTTCTTATCAGTTTAATATCTGATACGTGGACCATCGGTCCACATGATATTAAATTAATTTCTTTCGGGGGCAGGTGCCAATGGCCAGCTTGCTGGTCGGCCCTGTGCGCGTCGCCTCAGTATTGCACTATCTCTGAGGAAGGCGCACCCCTCCCCACACGGGGACCAAAACAAAAGTGAAATGGGATTTGGCAACCCTAAAGAAAGTTGTGGAAGCAAATCAAAATATCCTAAAAAACAAAAAAACCTTGACGTTGCATCAGCTGGAAAATATGGTATCCAAAATGTGGGAACCAACATTTACCTACCCCTATTCCGCCTACTGGTTTCGACATACCGTATTCAATAGCCAGGCTGATGATTTTACATTTTTCCAATCACACTAGCACTGGTATTCTGCAAATGTGAGGGTGGGACTGCTGCAAGTTCTCAACAAAAAATATCACTAACTACAGTCTCTGCTCAATCATGGCTGCTGAGCAGACCAGATCAGATCACATGGTTACTATGCTAAGGCAAACTCGTGCACCTCAGTGCACTTCCTCTATCAAATTGTCAATGCGATCATGCTTGTCGGCTGCTGCTGCTGACGACTCGATTCCCCCAAGGGTGTTGGCTGCCTTGCTTAGCTGCCGTCGTACTAATCTCTCGTACACTCCATTCGCTGGAAGGAAGCGACAACAGACACACCAGAAGAGAAATGTAGGTAGGATAGGAAGCATGAAATTGTGTTACTGTGGCCCCCCAACGGCCTCGTGTGGAAAAGAGACAATCCGCCAGTTATGAGCAGTTTCTTGCATAAAGCCAGCAGCTACCCGTGCATGTGGGCTTACCTTCACCCTGCACTTACCATCACCTATTGCACGCACTCACTTGCTGTACACACACTCGACAAGAAACAACAACTCGTCCCTTCCCTCTACCACCCATCGACACTCACGAATTTCCAGCAGCTGCTCATGCGTGCCATGCTCAGCGACCCGCCCCCCTTCCAGCACGCAGATGCTGTCAGCATTGCGCACGGTGGACAGCCGGTGAGCCACGAGCACGATGGTGCGCCCGCCCTCCGCGATCAGCCGGTCCAGCGCGCCCTGCACCAGCGCCTCACTCTCCGCGTCCAACGCTGACGTGGCTTCGTCCAATAGGAGCACGCGCGGGCGGCGCAGCAGCATCCGGGCAATGGCTATGCGCTGTAGATCAGGGATGAGCAATAAAAGAGAAGATTCCATGCCAAACGTTTGTTTGGTTGTTTTTTTTTTTTCTTTTTTTTCCAACATTTTTTCTTATGGTATTACTAGTTAGTTGTATAAGGCTCACTGAGCTAACCTCATCAGACTTTGAAGGTCCAGGTCTTGTCTCACCTGACCTCTGTTGGTCTCAGCTCTCCTCTCTTGGCCTCACCTGCCTCTGACCGCCTGAGAGTCGCACTCCCCTCTCTCCCACGCGTGTAGCGTAACCCTCGGGGAACTTGGTGATGAAATCGTGTGCGTTGGCGTGCCTGCAAGGAAGAGATGCGAGAAAAACACGCAGGAAATCAATTCAGCAACAAGCACTCCCACAAGCCCGGCGCATGGCATAACCCGCGGGGAACTGGGTGATGAAATCATGCGCATTGGCGTGCCTGCAAAGAAGAGTTGCAAGGAGAGCAGAGGGCAAAAAGTTACGACAGGGTTTCGGGTTTTCTCCTCGAATTTAACCTCGATGCTGCATGTTCACATCTGAATGTACATATACACATGCGCCTTTTGAGGCGCCTCAACAGTCGCAACATCCCCCAGTGCTGCATCTCCCAATGACACTCACTTGGCAGCTTCTTCAACCTCGGCTCGAGTGTAACACGGCAGCCCATACGCGATATTCTCCTCGATGCTGCATGCCCACATCTGCGTGTCCTGCGCCACCAGCCCCATGTGCTGATGCCCCCACTAGCCCCACATATTTGCATACTACAGATTGCACACACTCTTACTTGGCAGCCTCCTCCACTTCGGCTCGAGTGTAGGAAGGCAAGCCATACGCGATATTCTCCTCGATGCTGCATGCCCACATCTGCGTGTCCTGCGCCACCAGCCCCATGTGCTGATGCCCCCACTAGCCCCACATATTTTCATACTACAGATTGCACACACTCTTACTTGGCAGCCTCCTCCACTTCGGCTCGAGTGTAGGAAGGCAAGCCATACGCGATATTCTCCTCGATGCTGCATGCCCACATCTGCGTGTCCTGCGCCACCAGCCCCATGTGCGCGTGCACCGACCGTAGATTCAGCTCGCGCAGATCTCGGCCGTCCATCACGATGCGGCCTTGGACAGGATCGTAGAAGCGCATGAGCAGATGCACCACGGTTGACTTGCCTCCCCCGCTGCGACCCACCAGGGCGAGCACTTGGCCTGGATCCACGTGGAGGGATACTCCTGAAGGGAATAAGGGACAGGGGACAGAGGAAGACAGGGAAGGAGGGATCGTAGAAGCGTATGAGAAGATACACGACTGTGGACTTGCTCCCACCACTGTGACCCACCATGGCGAGCACTTGCCCTGGATCCACGTGGAAAGACACTCCTGGAGTAGTGGTTTTGAAAATGAGGGAGGGGGGGCAGCACAGCACAAGATAAGGGCAGCACTAGAGTGGGTTCCTACTAGAATGCGGCAGGTAGCGACACTAAAGCTGGACGCTACTATTGTAGGTGCTACTAACACATGGTGGGTAGTGACAGTAAAGCAGGGCGTTACCCAGGAAGGTAGCCAACACACCTTTGAGCACGGGGTGGTCTGGGCGCATCTGGTAGTGGAAGTGAACATCCTCCATGCGGATGGATCCCTGCAGTGTTGACACCTGGTGATTGAGCATAGGAAAAAAAGAGTGAGAAGAGACAAGGGATGGAAGACTGATTGGGTTGTTGCAGGCATCTCATCTGGTAATGGAAGTGCAGGCACTGACACGACACCCTTGCACTGACACGACACCCTTGCACTGACACGACACCCTTGCACTGACACGACACCCTTGCACTGACATGACACCCTTGCACTGACACGACACCCTTGCACTGACACGACACCCTTGCACTGACACGACACCCTTGCACTGACACGACACCCTTGCACTGACACGACACCCTTGCACTGGCACGACACCCTTGCACTGACACGACACCCTTGCACTGACACGACACCCTTGCACTCATAGTCACCCTTGCACTGACACGACACCCTTGCACTCATAGTCACCCTTGCACTGACACGACACCCTTGCACTCATAGTCACCCTTGCACTGACACGACACCCTTGCACTCATAGTCACCCTTGCACTGACACGACACCCTTGCACTCATAGTCACCCTTGCACTGACACGACACCCTTGCACTCATAGTCACCCTTGCACTGACACGACACCCTTGCACTCATAGTCACCCTTGCACTGACACGACACCCTTGCACTCATAGTCACCCTTGCACTGACACGACACCCTTGCACTGACACGACACCCTTGCACTGACACGACACCCTTGCACTGACACGACACCCTTGCACTGACACGACACCCTTGCACTGACACGACACCCTTGCACTGACACGACACCCTTGCACTGACACGACACCCTTGCACTGACACGACACCCTTGCACTGACACGACACCCTTGCACTGACACGACACCCTTGCACTCATAGTCACCCTTGCACTGACACGACACCCTTGCACTCATAGTCACCCTTGCACTGACACGACACCCTTGCACTCATAGTCACCCTTGCACTGACACGACACCCTTGCACTCATAGTCACCCTTGCACTGACACGACACCCTTGCACTCATAGTCACCCTTGCACTGACACGACACCCTTGCACTCATAGTCACCCTTGCACTGACACGACACCCTTGCACTCATAGTCATCCTTGCACTGACACGACACCCTTGCACTCATAGTCACCCTTGCACTGACACGACACCCTTGCACTCATAGTCACCCTTGCACTGACACGACACCCTTGCACTCATAGTCACCCTTGCACTCATAGTCACCCTTGCACTCATAGTCACCCTTGCACTCATAGTCACCCTCTCCGACACTGACGCCAGGCCAGCATTGCCCTCTGCTTTCTTCTTTCTCTCACACACACCTCCCTACCTTGGTGCCCGCATCAGGGTCAATGGCAGGCAGTGAGTCAGTCGATGAGGGAGAGCACCCTCTGAGCAGCACCAGGGGCCTTGGTGAGGGACATGAGCACCGACATGATGCTCTGATACCCCGACTGGACCCCCACACTCCAAACACCCACTGCTATTCCGATCCCCACACACCTTGGTGCCCTTGTCAGGGTCGATATCTGGCAGAGAGTCGATGAGGGAGAGCACCCTCGGGCAGCGTCAGAGGCCTTGGTGAGCTTTGATGCACCTCAAAACTCGTCTGTATATGCACACACACACACACACAGAACCCTACCTTGGTGCCCGCATCAGGGTCAATATCTGGCAGCGAGTCGATGAGGGAGAGCACTCGCTGAGCGGCGCCAGAGGCCTTGGTGAGGGACATGAGTACAGACATGATGCTCTGATACCCCGACTGGATGAGGTTCCAATAGAGCTGAAAGGCGATGAGCTGGCCCAGGCGCATGTGCCCCTCCATCACCAACACCCCTCCGTACCTGGGGTCGTTGAAATGGGGGAGAGGAATAGAGGGAAGGGGGAAAGGGAGAGCCAGAATGAGGTTCGTGGTACCCCGACTGGATGAGGTTCCAGTAGAGCTGGAAGGCGATGAGCTGGTCCAGGCGCATGTGCCCCTCCATCACCAACACCCCTCCGTACCTGAGAGATACAGAAAATGGGGGACAAGAAAGGTGGAAAGCGGGAGATGGAATGAGGTGCTTGGTACCCAGGGCCCCCAACTGGATGAGGTTCCAGCAGAGCTGGAAGGCGATGAGCTGATCCAGGCGCATGTGCCCCTCCATCACCAACACCCCTCCGTACCTGAGAGATACGGAAAATGGGGGACAAGAAGAGGAGGGAGACGGAACGAGATGCTTGGTAGTCCCTGACTGGAACCAATTCCAGTAGAGCTGGATCAGCGGACCCAGCTGCATGTGCCCCTGCATCACCAGCGCACCTCTGTACGCCCAACGTACCCCCAACACACCCACAACACACAAGGCTGCATGAACCCACCAGCGAATCAGAACGACTTTTGAGACGTCTCAAAAGCCCCCAACACACCCCCACCACACAAGGCCGAATGAACGCAACAGAGGATGAGAACGGACGCCCCCAGGTCGAGCCAGCTGTTGATGGAGACGGCGCCGGAATAGGCAAGGGCGTCCCTCACGTACGTCCCACCCACATCCCACCCACATACCCCCAACACACCACAGCAGACCCAACCCACCAGAGGATGAGCACGGACGCCCCGAGGTCGAGCCAGCTGTTGATGGAGACGGCGCCGGAATAGGCAAGGGCGTCCCTCACGTACGTCCCACCCACATCCCACCCACATACCCCCAACACACCACAGCAGACCCAACCCACCAGAGGATGAGCACGGACGCCCCCAGTTCGAGCCAGCTGTTGATGGAGACGGCGCCGGAATAGGCAAGGGCGTCCCTCACGTACGTCCCACCCACATCCCACCCACATACCCCCAACACACCACAGCAGACCCAACCCACCAGAGGATGAGCACGGACGCCCCCAGGTCGAGCCAGCTGTTGATGGAGACGGCGCCGGAATAGGCAAGGGCGTCCCTCACGTACGTCCCACCCACATCCCACCCACATACCCCCAACACACCATAGCAGACCTGTCGGAGTTCTTCCCTTCTCCTTCCTCACTCCTCCCTTGCCCCTGCCTATTCCCTGCCTTCTGTCCTCACCTTCTTCCCTTCCTTCTTATTCTGGCCTTTCCCCACCTTGTGCTGTCCCCACTCCCGTGACCCTGTTCCCTTCTGCGTTCTCAGCCACTACCGAGAAGTTTACTCTCCCACACGATGGCTGCCCACAGTGGCGTAGTCATCTAGCTAGCGTAGCCTTGTTGCGGTAACGTTATCCACTATATGAGGCAAACAAGACGAGAGAACAGGTTTGCTATGCTAGGCTAGGCTATTTGTGCTTGGCTGCCCAGTCGCGAGTAACTCAGCGTGCTGGGTTGAGCTCGAGCCGCCTAGGCCTTGAAGTGGCCCTCGCCAGATTGCCTGTCTCCCGAGGTTCCTGAAATTGTCCCCGAAGCGCCCTGTAACCCCCAGTGCTACCAACTTCTCGCTACTCTCTATAACCCAACTACCCCACATGCAGATTGAATAACACTCGCTACACCACTTCTACACCCAATTAGCACATGTCTCCAATATGATGCTCTTACCATTATATTTGGTGACAGACCCAACCCACTAGAGGATGAGCACGGACGCCACCAGGTCGAGCCAGCTGTTGATGGCGACGGCGCCGGAATAGGCAAGGGCGTCCCTCACGTACGTCCCACCCACATCCCACCTACACACCCCCAGCACACCACAGCAGACCCAACCCACCAGAGGATGAGCACGGACGCCCCCAGGTCGAGCCAGTTGTTGATGGCGACGGCGCCGGAGTAGGCAAGGGCGTCCCTCACGCCCTTTGCCATGGCCGCCATGGTCTTGCTCTCGTACCGCTCCCTCTCCACCCCCTCTGTTGAGAATGCCCGCACTGTGCGGATATTGCTCAAGGCCTCCGATGCTGCACTGTTCGCCTCTGCTAGCACCTGGGAAGCGAGGGGTGAGACGGGGGGACAGAGGGAACAGGGATTGGAGGACGAAGGGATGGGAGGGAATGGAGATGTGAGGTGACGGGACAGACACCACACGAGGGACGGGACGGGAGGACATGGCTGCCATGGTCTTGCTCTCGTACTGCTCCCTCTCCACCCCTTCGGTGGAAAACGCGCGCACTGCGCGGATATTGCTCAAGGCCTCCGATGCTGCACTGTTCGCCTCTGCTAGCACCTGCCAGAGAAGGACACGCAGGCAAGGGGGGGAAAGGAGCAGTGGGGATGGCAAGGGGCACAGATGGGCCGCCATGGTCTTGCTCTCGTACTGCTCCCTCTCCACCGTCTCTGTTGAGAATGCCCTCACTGTGCGGATGTTGGACAGAGCTTCTGATGCTGCACTGTTCGCCTCTGCTAGCACCTGGGAAGGGGTGGGGGAACACAGCGATGGGAGGAATGGGGATGGAAATGGGGACGGGAGGCCATGGCTGCCATGGTCTTGCTCTCATACCACTCCCACAAGGTCACAAAGCACAGCAGCACACCGCCCACCACCGACGCCAGATTCCCGCACCAGCGTCAACAGCTGCCAGTTAATCGGCTGCGTTTGTGTCCCTTTCATAGCACACTCTCACACAGACACACTTACCCAACCCCTCTCCCCCTCCCTATCCCATCCCCCGTCCCCCACCAGCCATCCCCTCCCCCACCAGCCATCCCCTCCCCCACCAGCCATCCCCGTCCCCCACCAGCCATCCCTCACCCACCAGCCATCCCCTCCCCCACCAGCCATCCCCTCCTCCACCAGCCACTTACGGCGTATCGCTTCCTGTTCAAATCTCTCGACCAGCGCGAGTAAACAGCCGTGATGTGCAGAATGGGCGCCATGGTGGTAAACGCGAGGATGCTGAGCTTCCACGAAGTCACAAAGCACAGCAGCACGCCGCCCACCAGCGACGCCAGATTCCGCACCAGCGCCGACAGCTGCCAATTAATCGGCTCACTCATCGCAGCCACGTCATTGGTCAACCTAGAAGTGAGCTCTCCGGTGGTGGTCGAGTCGAAATACGCGATGTCTTGGATGATCACGCCCTCGAAGAGTTTATCCTGGAGGGTTTTGAGCACGCGCTTGCCGACCACGGAGAAGCAGAGGCCGCGCAGCCCGCCGAAGATGCCAGTGATGAGCGAGCAGAGCGCCATCGCTAGGACGTCCCGATGGAACTGGGCTTTGTCCACGTGCCCGTCCTTCACGTCGTCCACTATACGGCCCTGCGGGAGGGAGAGAGTGTGGGATGTAGGGAGTCGCAATGGTGATGAGCAAGCAGAGCGCCGTGGCCAGCACGTCCCGATGGAACTGGGCTTTGTCCACGTGCCCGTCTTTTACGTCATCCACAACTCGACCCTGAGGGAGTGAGGGAAGGGGAGGCGAGCACGGGCAAGCAGTTTACCAGGTGGTGAGTGGTGAGTGGTCGAGGGGGGCATAAGGATGGGACCGAGTGGCTTGGAAGCCAGTGAGTGAAAGGCACCAGGAGGGAGAAGCAGAGGCCGCGCAGGCCGCCAAAGATGCGGTGATGAGCGAGCAGAGCGCCATTGCTAGGACGTCTTGATGGAACTGGGCCATATCGACATGCCCATCTTTCACATAATCCACGATGCGACCCTGAGGGAGGGAGAAATCGAGGGTGGTAGTCGGGAGGTGCGAGAGGGAAGGTGGGAGAGGGGACGTGGGAACTGAGTTTGTCCTGGAGGTTTTTGAGGATGCGTGGAGAAGAATAGGCCGCGCAGGCCGCTGAAGATGCCGGTGATGAGCGAGCAGAGCGCCATGGCCAGCATGTCCCGATGGAACTGGCCTTTTTCCACGTGCCCGTCTTTCATGTCGTCCACTGTATGGCCCTGCGGAAGGAAGGGAGAAAAAAAGGGGTGGGAGTATGGGGAGATGGGAGTGGAGCGCGGGGACAGGGTTTATCTGGTGATGAGGGAACAAGGGACTCATGTTCAATTCAAGGGGACCTTCTTGCCTCACCTGATATGTGGGGATGAGCAGCCCGGCTCCAGAGGTGACAGCAAGGCAGGTGAACCCCGTGACTATGAGCGGAAGCTCCTTGTAGGCGAGGCCGATGGAGCGCAGAAGATATTGCCGGGGGGTGAGCACCTTCTCCAGGCGGATTCCCTTGTCCCCTCTAAGAGCTGACTCGTCTAGCGCCTCCTCCTGCCCCTGCTGCTTGCTGCTGGGCCCACGAGTTGTCTTCTTTGTCCCACTGTTCGTGGATTTTAAAGGTGGACAGGTGGACGGGAAGCAAACGAGGAGAGGAAATATTCAGACTCAATTATAAGTGGCTGATCAGCCGTTGTGGGCCATTTTTGAAAGCGCCTCAACAACGGACCTGGAAAGGTTGGCCAGGAGGGTGGGAAGTTCAGGTAGAGAACTTATGAGATTCCCAGGGCCCACTGATCTGGTAACGCCGCCCACTGACCTGGTAACGCCGTGTGAGCCAGCAGCAGAGGTCGTGACCTCCAATCCGCCTCCATTCTCCCCCTCAGAAGACCTCCTCCTCGCCCCATGCCCATGCCCATGCACATGCGCATGCTCCGCCTTGTCCTTTAGTGCCAGCGCCCGCCCAAGCACGCCGCTGCACTCAGAGAGGTTGCCGAGGAGGGTGGACTCAGCGTTGATCCAGATGATGGCCGACCCCATCAGCCAGCCCTGCAGGAACTCGCTGGGGAAGGCGAAGTTGACGCACTTGGCGCCCACATACACCTGGAAGGGGTGGTAATGGGTGGAGGGCGGTGGAGATGGATTAGAGGAGGGTGGACTCGGCGTTGATCCTCCCTGGGTTGGAGGGGAAAGACGGAGAGGGGAGAGGGACGAGGGGAGAGGAGGAGGGGCCCAGGGGAGAGGGGAGAGGGGAGATGGGATATGGGGACGGAAGAGCGACGAGGGGAGGGGGGAGAGGGGAGGGGGAAAAATGCTGAACCAGGGCACAACAGACACGTGATCCAGCCCTGCAGCAGCTCGGACGAAAATAATCAAGCGATGAACAGGATTCATACGGTGCAGTGCAGGAACGCGTGAGTGAAGCACAGACCTGGAAAACGTTTTTTGAGACGTCTCAAAAATCACGTACCTGGAAGAAGGTGCAGAGGAGGAAGGAGACGAAGACAGTCACGTCCTTGGATGATACATTGCTCATCCACTCCTTAAAGCCCTGGTCCTCCTCCTCCTTCTTCCACGATATCACCTCATGCTTCTTCTCCTCCTCCTCATCCTCCTCCTCTTCCTCCTTCTCCTTCTCCTTATCCGTACCCCGAGCCAGAAGCGGAGCATGCAACCCCCCATTCATGTCATGGGACCCTCTTCTCGCTGCATTGGGTCCTGATCCCCCTCCTGGCCTCCCTTTCTGCTCCTTTTTCGGAATTTCAAGCTCCCAGCCTTCCTGCCACGCGTACCGAGCAGCTATTTCTGACAGAATCGACAGAGAGATTGCTCTGACTATAGCGATAAGGATGAGATCGAGGGAGTCTGATCTGAAGCTGAGGAGGCTTTTAACGAATTCGCTGAAGGAGCTGAAATCGGGAGTCCAGATGGCGTTGTGGAGAGAATAGTGCAGAGCCTGGCCAGGGACAGAAACGAAGAGGAGAAAGACAAGGATGAGGGGTAAGAATAGAGAGAGAAAGGAAGAAAGAAAGTAAGAAGCGGATCGCGCAGTCTGGCCAGGACAAAAATAATAAATTTTATCAGCTACTTATGAAAATCCTGCAAAAATGAGGTACGATCGTCAGTCGTTTCGGAATTCACAAGGCTACGCAGAAAGGTTGGACTTACAAGAGTGAAGGCAATATCGATTCCAACAGCGACGAAGAACGCCACTCGCGCCCATTTCACGTGTCGCGCTGCGGCGATCGGGTCCGTCGTACCGACGTACTTAAGCGGCTGCTCTGACACCTTCGCCTTCGCCTTCGCCTTCCCTAACTTCCCCATCCCCACCCCCCGTCAAATTCTAAACGGAGACTCGGCACTTCCGCTCTAAGCTAAACGGAGACTTGACACTTCTGCTCTAAGCTAAATGAAGACTTGACAATCACGCAACGTAAACGTGACCAGCTCAGGGTCAGCTTGAATAGAAGCTGAATTTCACTCGAATGGATTCAGTTCAGAGGCTAGATGGCAGGATCTGTGGCTTTGACTGGACAAACCAAGTGCTCTGGCAAGAAAAGGGAATATGAGAATCGAAGAGCAGCACTCAGTGACACTTTTCACTAATCTACTACCATTCCAGGTGATTCCTTCTACGCGTTGACCAGCAGCTACGAATCTAACCAAAATTGCTCCTCACAACGGCTTTCCCTGACAAACAAGTCCTGGAATGATGATAGAAATGGGACGAGCTTGAGCAACCGAAGGAGGAGTCTGACTTGTAGCAGACCATAATGAGTGAGCCTCTTGAAGCAAAAATAGGAATGAATAGTTGTGGGGTGGAGTACGGTGGCTTCTGTTTCTGCTTATTCCGTTGCGGTACCTAGCGGTACTAGGCTAAGCGTGTTTTTTTGGATGACAGTCCAATGACTGGCTGCTCCGACTGAGACGCAAACCTCGAAAATGTCGAAATGAGGGTTGATCCAACGGCAATGAATGCCTGCACTAGAAGATTTTAACGGTTTCGATTTCCTGGAGTAACGGATGACGGGGTCAAGTGTTCATCATGCGGATACCACGAAACCACGGCACAGTGGTGATGTGCCACGTGAATGCGGCTTTCAATTCAACAGCGTAAGCAGAGATGAAACTGCTGTGGTTGGTTGGCTGTACGGAGACGTACATACGTACGTACGCCATCCACCGAATTTCCCAAACCAGCTTCCAGTACCACCATTAAAACGCGTTGCAACGGTCTCCGCTTTTTCACAGCGCATTTCTTTTGTGGTGTGCAACTGTGATGAGTACATTGCACATACAGAGACACATACAAGTTGTGTTGTGTGGCCTCTTTATTCCAATACAACCCTCAAGCAGTCCAACCACCAAGTGAAAGAATCAATGGCCGGGCCTTGAAGCGTACCGAGCTAGATGCAAACCTGACACATCCCATACCACCACTTTCCCGTCTAGACCTGCCAATAGATATGCAAAACCAACAAGGGAGAAGTTAGTAGATGAAATCTTAACAAGACAAATACTGGAGATCCTTTCTCTGGGGATACTAGTGCTCAAAACGCTTGACTGAACTGAAACCGAACAGGCAGAAACTTCAAGGTACAAATGTCTAGTTGAGATGCTACGTGTGCCAGCATATTGCCCACCTGATGTCGAGAATTGCTGAATAATGGAATCGTCTGCCGATCCCAATGGCCGAATGCAGCTGCGGCAAGAAATCACATGAAAGACAAAAAAGGGCAACAAAGGATAGCAGTGAGCTCAATGCCACTTGACAAAACAAGAGCTGTTGCTGCACAAATAGACAAGACATGTGATGCCATCCGAGCGAACCGTGCTCGGTCCTTCACAGTCCATCCCCAGTTGAATAGACTCAGGATCTGTTGCACAAACGGACAACTCACGTGATGCAGTCCTGATGAACAGTGCTAGGTCCTTTCGAGAGCTCCGAGTCGGGAATGGAGGGGGCATTGGGTGCAGCGTCGGTCAGACCGGAGCGGAGAGAGTTCCCGCGCTCCATCGACCGACCAAACGTGTCCTTCTGAGGAGCGGGAGGGATGATGGGAGAAGAAAGAACTTTTGAGACGTCTCAGAAGAACTCCGAGTCGGGAATGGAGGGGGTGTTGGGTGCAGCGTCGGTCAGGCCGGAGCGGAGAGAATTCCCACGCTCCATCGACCGACCAAACGTGTCCTTCTGAGGAGCGGGAGAAGGGGTCATGGGAAAGGAGAGAGGAATTTTGAGATGTCTCAAAGAGGCGTTAGGAGCAGCATCGCTCAGGCTGGAGCGGAGAGGATTGCCTTGCTCCATTGACCGACCAAACGTGTCCTTCTCAGGAGCGGGAGGGATGATGGGAGAAGAAAGGACTTTTGAGACGTCTCAGAAGAACTCCGAGTCGGGAATGGAGGGGGTGTTGGGTGCAGCGTCGGTCAGGCCGGAGCGGAGAGAATTCCCACGCTCCATCGACCAACCAAACGTGTCCTTCTGAGGAGTGAGAGAAGAGGTCATGAGAAAGGAGAGAGGACTTTAGAGATTTCTCAAAGGGGCGTTGGGAGCAGCGTCGCTCAGGCCGGAGCGGAGAGAATTCCCGCGCTCCATCGACCGACCAAACATGTCCTTCTGAGGAGCGAGAGGTGGGATCATGGTAGAGGCTAGAAAAGAAACGAGAGATGAGGGAGGAGAAAAAGCAGAAGTCATAAGAGAAAGTGCACGGAAAAGCTTCAGCTGTTGAGGCGTTAAGGGCAGACTCATCAACGGAAACTCTGCTGCACCTACTGCCAATATGGGAATTACTTAAATAACACACAAAGGGGATGCAACGAGGGAAAGCGAGCAGAAGAACATTGAAATGGAGATAAACACAGAAAAGCAAGACGGTTTTCCAGCTCTCTGAAAAGAGGGAATAGGCGGATGAGAGGGAGGGGGAGGGGGGTAAGGGAGTTACCGCAGAGAGAGCAGCGCCAGTGGCAGTGGAGGTGGGCTCCTCCGAGCCATCCAATACTCTCACAAACGTCCTGAGAGCGTGCAGATACAGAGAAGAGGAGAAGGGAGGTAGATGCGAGGGGGTGAAAGGGAGGGATTGGGGCGGGTGCGCTAATGGGAAGGGGAGGCCACAGGGAATGGCACAGTCATCTTGCATACCGTGGCATGACATTGCATTGCACAGAATTGCATGGTGTGTAAAACCTGATGCGGGCACCACCCACCACGTGCCATTTCTGCCAGCACCACTCACCACGTGCCATTGGCATCGGCACTGAAGAGAATGGGGTTGTAGTCAAAGCCAGCCGCCACCAGCAGCCGATCAGAGAGGAAGAGAACCTGGCAGTGGATAGCAGGACAGGGGTATGTGCATGACAGGTGGGGAAAGGGGCGAGGGTTGTAGTCAAAACCAGCCGCCACCAGCAGCCGATCGGAGAGGAAGAGAACCTGAAGGTGCATGGGAGGGATGGAGAGGATGTGGCCCCGTGGGGGGGCAGAGGGGGGAAAGAGGAATTGAGAAATATAAAAAGGATGTAGGAAGCAAGACGAAGATATGGCCAATCAGCCAATCAGAAAGGAAGGGAACCTGACGGTGCATGGGGCTAGAAATAGTGATAGAGTGTGGAAAGGCAACAGGGTAGAAAAGCTCGCTTAACAGTGTTGAAATCACTTTTGATATTTCTCAAAGGTGAAAAGCTCGCTCAACAGTGCCAAATAGAGGCAACAGAGGGGAAGGAGGAGGGTACAGCTTGCATTTCGCAGAGGTGGATTGGAGGGCGACCGAGAGGTGTGGGAACGGGGGAGGGGGAAGGGAGAGCGGGGAGGTAAAGAAGGTGGGGAAGTGAGGAGGGTAAGTAATGGGTTTAGGGTTTAGGTCGCGCAGTGGGAGGTATCGGAGCGAGATGTAGTGTTGGTGGGGGGGGGGGGGGGAGAGAAGGGGGGGGGGGGTTGAAGGTGAGGTGAGAGGGGAAGGTAGAGTGGGAAAGCAAAGAAGCGTCTACACTTACATCACGCAGTGGGAGGTATTGCAGGGAGATGAGGGAGGTGAGGGAGGTGCGGGAGGTGAAGGAGGAAAGCGGTTGAAGTGGAGAGGTGAAGAAGATCAGGGGAGGCGGCATCAGCGGAGGCGGCATCAGGGGAGGCGGCATCAGGGGAGGCGGCATCAGGGGAGGCGGCATCAGGGGAGGCGGCATCACGGGAGGCGGCATCACGGGAGGCGGCATCAGGGGAGGCGGCATCACGGGAGGCGGCATCAGGGGAGGTGGCGCTAGGGAAAGCGGCATCAGAGTATGGAAACCTAAGCAGCAGGGAGTCAGGAGGCAAGGTTGTGAGAGCAGGTCCCTCTTGCTTCCTGCTGCTTAGATTTTTATACTTTGCTGCCGGTTTCCCTAATGCCGCCTCCCTTAATGCCGCCTACCCTGATGCCGCCTACCCTGATGCCGCATGCCTTAATACCGCCTACCCTGATGCCGCACTTAGTGGGAATATACGCTCAGAACCTAAAGCGTATAGCGTATATACGCTTGCGTTCATACGCAAAACGCTATACGCTAGCTAATACGCTATACGCTTTCAGATTTATTTAGGGGCTGCCCGGGAAAAAAATTCATGTGTATACGGAAAGATGCGGAATCTCCTGGTGAGCATTTCGCGGAAGTCGAGGTGCAATTCAGGGTTGTAGGGAAGCGGGAATGTGCCTTACAATTGCATCTGGCAGTTCAGATCTACAATTTTGTTTAGTACCGCATTGAAATCCATCCCATCTACGAACTCCAACCTGTCAAAAACGTCCCCCCAACAAACCCCACTCACGCTACTAACCAGCCAGCCCAACTGCACTTGACATTTCCCGCTTCCCAACAGAGCTCATCCCGATTCCTACTTTTCCTTCTAGCGATAGTGTCTACTACACATCCCACCCTAATCGAAGTTCAGACTTAGGAGAATGCTACGAAATTCTTAGTGAGAATATGGAATACCTTCCCGATGTTGAGCACGACATTGTTTTTCACCCAGCCCGGGATTTTTTTTCCTGCCCGAAAAAGCGGATTCCCAAAGCCGACCCTTCAGCGTTTAGCGTATATACGTTAGCGTATATACGATAAGCATATATACGCTATACGCGTATATTCCCACTAAGATGCCGCATGCCCTAAGGGCGTATTCCTGCACTTCCGGTCATCAGCACTTCGGGTCATCCGAGATTGTGGGATCCAATCGGAAAATCGGAATGCATCCCAATCTCTTGATTCCGAATTTCCGATTGGATCCCACAATTTCGGATGGCCCGAAGTGCTGATGACCCGAAGTGCAGGAATACGCCCTAATACCGCCTACCCTGATGCCGCATACAGAAATACCGCCTACCCTGACGCCGCATACCCTAATACCACCTACCTTAAGACCACCAACCCTGATGCTGCATACTCCGATGCCGCCTCCCCTAATACCACTTACATCGCGTAATGGGAGGTATCGCAGAGAGATGGAGTGGAGGGTGAGAGAGGGGCCGACGTCGTTGATAAAATGGATGGTGGAGTCATGGCCTGGGTGCATGTGTATGTGTATGAGCAGCACATGATGCATGTGGAAAGCATAGAGGTGGAGTGGAGGGAGAGGGAGGGGCTGACGTCGTTGATGGTGGAGTTGAGTTGAGTCAATCTCAGAGGCCTGACTCATCAAAGACTCACCAACAAAGGCCAAGTCGAGCAGCTAATTGTGAGACTTGAAAAAAAAATCAAAAGGGCAACTCACCAACGAAGGCGAGGTTGGCCCCTGAAGGTGACCACCTGGCCCCAAAAGTCCACCCGAATGCCAAATCAAGCTGAAGAAGTTGCTGCTTGGAGAAAGAGAGTGATAGAGGTGGAGTGAAGGGAAGGGAGGGGAGATGAGGGAGAGGCGAGATGACGATGGGAATCAGGATAAATGTTGAGGACAAAGAAACGAGAAGGGGGAAGATAATGTGGGAGGGATTTATTGAGAGAATGCGGTAAACCTTGACAATCACAGCTAACCATTCCATTATGTCACATCCCTAGCTCGCTCCACTTTCCAACCATAAAACTCCCTGATTCTACTGACCACTCTTTTTGTTCCCTGCGTCCCTTTCCGCCCTTCCCCTTCCCTGCCTCACCTCTCCAAATTTCCCGGAGAATCCACCAGACGATGAGCTTTCCGAACTAGGCAGAGGTGAAAAAACGCGGTTAGGAGCAGAAATGGACAAAAGGACAAGAAAGAGACGAAGTGGAATGTGCATTGTTAGACAAGGCATGAAGAGGTATAAAAGGAGTCAGAACTGTGAGAGGAATGAGAAATATGGGAAGAGTGATGAAAAATGACATAGATATTTTGTGAGTTATAGGGAGTGTGTTGCAGAGTTCAGCAGATGGAGAGGATACCTCTTAGAGTCAACCCCTTTGATTGTAGCTGAAAATATTCGGCACTTGTTATCTGTGCATGTGGTCGCTAGGAGAAGCTGCAAATAAGGAGCCAGGGGGAGGGGAGGGAGGGGAGAGGAGAAGAAAAATGTGTGTGTGTTTTTTTTTTGGAAGTAGGGGGCAGCAACAGAAAGAGCAACAACAGGAAAATCAGTACAGTAAACAGGTTCTATAGTGAGAAGGCTCATGACTTGTGTTTTGTTCAGCTGGCTCTGTTCACTTTCAGAATCTCATCATGTCTCACATTGTTTGGATGCCAGGCAACGCTGGTGACTGAAGAGGCATGCTTCTTGCGAATCACCTTGCTCACCCACCTGCGAGCACATATGCACGCACGCACAAACGCACACATGCATGCACACACATGTGCATTCACACACACAAGCATGCATGCACACAGACATGCATGAGCACACGGAGAAACACAGGCACGTGCGTATGCTACATCATTGCTTAGCATAGACACATCCACATACCATTCTCTTCCACTCCAAATAATTATACAACGTCACCAGTTCTGTTTCATTATGAGCACATACCAGCTGTTCTCGTCATCATAGTAGCACACACTGACAGTCTTGGACCCACTTCCCACTGCAAACTTGTTCTCTGCACGGTGAGCAAGAATATATGAACATAACAGCACTTGGGTTCTATTCATGAACGAGTGGCACAAACGGACAGCTTCCCAAACAATATACGGGTCTCCCTGAGCAACTAGATTGGAACATTCATCAAGCTGAACTGCATGTGCTGCTGTATTCCACTTGCCCCATCCTCACCTTGACAACTCCATTCGTCTCAAAGCCCTCACCTTGGGGACTCCACGCAACACAGAGAGTCGCCCTGTCGAGACTGAGAATGACCAGAGCTGCCCTCCACTCCCCCTCCACCCAGTTGACTATTGTATCAACTCATAAACTTTCCTCAGACCCTCACCTTGGGAACTCCATTCCTCTCACTCGCACCTTGGGAACTCCATTCGTCCCACCCTCACCTTGGGAACTCCATTCCTCTTTCTCTCACCTTGGGGACTCCACGCAACACAAAGAGCCGCCCTGTTGAGTCTCAGAATAACCAGTGCTGCTCTCCACTCCCCCTCCACCCAGTTCCACACGTACCTGTGCACGCAGGCCAAGGGAGGGTGGATAGGAAGGAAGAGGCAGATGGAAGGAGGGTGGTGAGGGCAGGAGGGGGAGGGTGGGAAGTGGGGGAGGGGAGGAGTGGGGGGTTGACGTTCCACTACTCCGCGACCCAGTTCCACTCATCCAATGATCGTTAAGAAGAGCAGGAGTGCGAAATGACATGCATTCCCCAGGCAAGGCTCACGAGTTGCGGTCATGTGAGCATGTGACGATGCGGTTCTTCTTGGCGCCCCAGTCCACGCCTGATATCAGATCCTCGTGCTGCCATGCCATGCCATGCCATATGGATGGTGTGCAGCATGCCATGCATACAAAGTATGTCATAACATGCCATGCCATTTCAGGCCATGCCAAGAATGCCAATTGGGGTGTTTGAGTAGAGGAAGCATGGTTGTAAAAGGTCAGAAGGATCATGACTGTTGCTAACACTGTCATGTCCTGTTTGCTGGTGCTCTGAATTTCAAATGCGTGTACCTTGGACAACGTGTGCAGCTTCTCCCACTGTTTCTCATCATCCGCGATATTAGCTTTGAATATCCACAGCTCCGATGTCCGCGGGCTAACGGCCACCACTGAAATGGAGAAATTGGAATGAGGGAGTGTTTTGATAAGAGTTTGATGAACACCCGATACGTAACGACGAGGAGACAGGCTGATCAAGAGGAGGAGCTGAATGTAAGTGAATGGCCCTGAATGTCGCTGAATGTTACTTCAGTTACACAAGCAGGTGAAGACACTGAAAGTAACCTAACCTCACTGAATCATTGTTAGATGGTGATCCAATGACTCTGGATTTCTTCAAATGTTGATCGGGTACAGTAGGAACCCAGTTTAAAGGGAGTATGAACTAGCTTCTATCATGCTTGTGACTCAACTGGACATGTTGCCATTCCACGCGTGGCAGGATATCGACGATGCCAAGCTGAAAGGCGACGCGTCCGCCATGGCGAAAGCGTCGCTTCAACGGGGATACGAAATGAAACTCAGAGATAGATGCTTGTGGTGTCTATGACGACACACGGCGTGGTGAAACGCATCGATTGTCAGGATGTGAGGGCTGTTGAATGGACTAGCATACTAAATGTGAAGGAATGACCTAAAACAAGTGCAACTGGGTGTTGTGCAACAGGATGCTCATACACGAACCTCCACCATACGATACCTCACTGCATCGTAAAGAAATTTGTCAGATATTATATACAAAACCGAACTCTACGAACGACCTTGTGAACAAATTGCGCCGAGCCTGGCGCTAATGCACATCTTGCATCTTTTGGTTGCTTTATAGAAAGTTCAGTAAAAGCAACTCTCTGTATCCATCTTCAGTGAGCATGTAGAGGTATTATTTTATACCAGACTCAGGTTTCAACGATTATTCGTGTGCGGTTTCTTCAAGGTTGCCCTGCTGCCAACCTTGCATGGGTTGACCTGTCGCCTGACAAGTTTCATGCTGACGCGTATCAGGGAAGTGGGCCCGAAAGGGTCAGGAGGAGATATCTACTTTCCCAGCCTGGCCCGGGAATCCAGAAATCCATGAGTTCATGTACGCGTGGCTTTTTATTATTAGACCATTTGCAGGCATCCTCCAACAACGCAGCTTCTTTTCAAGCACATCGCGGTTTTCAAGGGCAGCATCGCACGTGAGGTTGTCCATATGGTTGACCTGGGCCAACCGAACTGGCGAACGAAAAGTCCTGGAAACCCGATTCTGTACCTTTCGCTGCGTTGGCAAATTACGACAGAGGCGGTCTCAGCTGTATCCCGAAAAAAATCTGACCCTTATCCAACCAACCATTGGCTCCCAAGCACCATCCCCACCTGCCCAAAACTTCCACGGAATGTTTCCCGGCCCACCAGGCCTCACTCCTGACGCACCGCGGGCAGGCTTGCACCACCCGTGTGAGATGCGAATTCAAGGGGCAGGTTGGCGAAGGGGCATGTGTGAACACGGATACGCATTCGCCTGCTCTGCTCCGCTTTCTGCTCCGATCAGATCAGTGGAGTCGATTTGAGTGCGAATGACCAGGGGAGAGGAGCGGTGTAATCTGCCCCATTCCTCCTTCCTTTCCCGCTTTTTGGACCATTCGTGTCGTCGTGCTTTACTCCCTTCCCGCACAGAGCTCGCATGTGCGGGATCACGTCACCTCAGTATTGTTTCCTCGCCAGTTATGTGTTCCGTGTTCTATCTATGGATGTCGAGCTTTTGAACGTCATGACCAAGCACACTACTTTCCCAAATTACTGCTTCGACGAGTTTTAGGTTAATCTACCGCCTGTGATCGTGCGCTGCGGTGCGTTGCGGCCATTAGCGCGCGCTGCGCACTTGACTCTCCACTATAATTGACACGGTATGGACACCTCCGTAGCTCTTTCTCGTCGTCCGACGCTCACCGTTCGTCCAATCACCTCTCAACTAAAAGTAGGCTCGACCACCCGACGGTTAACCCCACTACGCACGCCGTCTCGTGTGCTGCTCAGAACCTCCCTTTTCGGAAAACCATTACTGTCGGAGCGGCAACGACTGCTGAAACGAGCACGCCTGTCGCTTGCTGCCTCACCAAGAGCCCCACCCGCTGCTTCCCGCCTAATTCCGCCCTTCGACCCTTCCTCCTACCACTCCTATCGGCCCTACTCGTCCGTCTTCGTGGCGGCTAGGAGTAGGAGCAGACACACGCAGCGGCACCAACAGCCTTCGTGCTTCGGCTGTCCGTCGTCCGTAGGCGGCGGCCATGGGCAGACTGGTAGTAGTATCTGGGCGAGTCAACTCGAGCAACATCCTTCTTTCTCGGTGCTGCAGCCGGCAGCTGTAGCACAGCAGAGGCGGCAGCGGCGGCTACAACCGGTCCGAGCGCATGCGGCGGCGGGAAGTTCCATTATCGAGGCTGCCGTGTCCGCGGTGGTCTCTGGGCCGATCCGGGACCTCGTCCTTGTCACACTCGGTGCAGTCGCGGCGCTGCTGACCACGGCGCTCGTCCTCTGGCTGCGCCGACGAGCCGAACAACAGGTAGTAAGAGGAAGAGAAAGGTGATACAAACGGAAGTTGATGGATGGAAGTTGGTAAACCGCTTGCGCGACCTCGTTCTTGTCACACTCGGCAAAGTCGCGCCTCTGCTGACCACGGCGTTCGTCCTCTGGCTGTGAGTCGACCCAGAAACAGGCGTTCGTCCTCTGGCTGTGTTTGAGTCGATCCAAAAACAGGCGTTCGTCCTCTGGCTCCGCCGAAACGAACGGCAGGTACTGCGCTGATGGTGATACAAACGGAAGGTGATACAAACGGGCTGAAGATGATCAACGCAAGCTGGTAACCAGAACGTTATCGAGGAAATTTGGTGTTTCGCATTTCCTCGTCTGATCTCGCCCCCTCGTTTGTGTCACTCCATACAGAGACTGTCTCTCCCTATCCGTCTCCCGCCCCCTCGTTTGTGTCACCTCATACAGAGACTGTCTCTCCCTATCCGTCTCCCGCCCCCTCGTTTGTGTCACCTCATACAGAGACTGTCTCTCCCTATTCGTCTCCCGTCCCCTCGTTTGTGTCACCTCATACAGAGACTCGTCTCGGCCGCCCGTCTTCCCACCCTTCCGTCCCGCTCCTCCTCTTCCCCCTCCTCTTCCATCCCCTCTCTCGATATCGCAACTGCAGCAGCAGCATCAGCAGCAGGACAAGTAGACGGAACTGTCTCAGCAATAGTACCTACCCAACGTACAACCAATGGAGCCTTGTTATCAATGGATCATGGCCCTTACGCCACTGCAGTAGCCAACGCTGCTGCTGCTGCTACAGCTACAGCTGATCGGTCATCTTATACCGCGGATCATGGTGGCCTTGGCGGTCTACTGGCTGCTGAAACCGGTCCTGGTTACAACGGATACGCCGCGCTGAACGGGGCTGCTTCCAACAGGAATGCTCTTAACGGGTATGCTTCTAACGGGGCTGCTTCCAATGGGCATGCTCTTAACGGGTATGCTATTAACGGGGCTGCTTCCAACGGTCATGCTCTTAACGGGCGCGCGGTTAACGGGCACGCTCTAAACGGGTACGCAGTGCACAGCAGCGCTGGCCAGGAGATGATGGGAGGCGAACGAGACAGCCATACCGTAGAGGAACCCTGGAGGGCCTCAAGCAATGGGAAAATAAGCAAGGACAGCAGCAGCAGGGAGAGCAGCAGCAGCAGCAGCAGCAGCAGCAGCAAGGACAGCAGAGATAGCAGCGCGATGAAGAAACAACTCAGCAGCAAAGCCGGTGGTTCCATCTGGTCGAAAGGCCTGGCAAGGGCCTTTGGAATTGGCTCCGGTGCGGCAGCCGCATCAGCAGCAGCAGCTTCAGCTTCTGCAGCAGCGAGCAGCAAGAGCAGAGGTGGCAAGCCGAGCGGGAAAAACAACTCCAAGGGAAGCACACGCTCCAGCACGAAAGGAAACCCCAGCACAAAGGCAAGCACTGGAAGCACAAAAGCAAGTGCAAGACCAAATGCAAAGGCGAGTGCAAAAGCGAGCACAAGCGCTGCTGCTGCTGCTGCTGCTGCTGCTGCTGGCAGCAGCGACAGGAAGCTTGGCGCGCCGACAGACGTGGGCGTGGGGATGCAGAAAGAATCAGTCGAATGGGTCAACATGGTGCTCCACAAGATGTGGAAAGTCTACAGACAACCCATAGAAACCTGGCTGGTAACCCGAATCCAACGCAGCATCGACAAGCTTCAACCGACGCTCCCGGCGCCGTTCTCCCGGGTGGAAATCGCGGTGTTTACTCTGGACTACGAGCCGTTTGCTGTAAGAGCCGTGCAGCAGCGGCCGAGCAGGAAGGCGGACGACTTGCAGTACCATGTGGGGGTGCGGTATACCGGGGACGCGCATTGTATGATAAGGCTGCATTTGGAGGTGGGGGGTTTGAAGTGGTCCGTGCCGGTGGACGTGCATGACTTGGACGTGGATGCTGAGGTGTGGGTGAAGCTACGGCTGACGCCCAAAAAGCCGTTTGTTGCAAGCCTGTCACTCGCGTTCGTGCGCCTCCCAACTATCAAGCTTGTGCTCGCGCCCTTCCATGTTCTCAACGTCGTCGGCATCCCGTGAGTGTCTCTTCCCCTTTCCCTGTCACGCACCACCACACCCACACAAATACACGGGGGCACATGCACGCGCACATAAGCACAGGAGGACGTGCATGACTTGGACGTGGATGCGGAGGTGTGGGTGAAGCTACGCCTGACGCCGAAAAAGCCGTTTGTCGCCAGCCTGTCTCTCGCGTTTGTGCGCCTTCCAACTATCAAGCTGGTGCTCGCACCGTTCCACGTGCTCAATGTTGTCGGCATCCCGTGAGTATTTGGCCATGCGTGCACATATGCACACGCACAAGCACCTGTCGCTCGCATTCGTGCGCCTGCCGACCATCAAGCTGGTTCTCGCGCCCTTCCACGTGCTCAGTGTGGTTGGCATCCCGTGAGTTGGCTCCTTCAGGTGTATTCGGCTATGCACGCGCGCGCGCGCGCACACATACACACCCACACACACAAGCACATACACACGCACACGCACACGCACATGCACAAAAAATTCACACACACAAGCACCTGTCGCTTGCGTGCGTTTGTTCACCTGCTGACAATCAAGCTCGTGCTCGCGCCGTTCCACGCGTTCAATATTGCCGGCATTCTGCGAGTATATGGCTATGCATGCTCACACACACACCCACACACTCACATAAGGACGATCTGAATGCACCCCCAAATCCCCCTCCCTTTGCTCCCCCTCCTCCCACACCTGCTCTCTCCCTTCCCCACCTTCACTATCCCACCTGCTTCTAACGAAGGACCTCCCACGTCTATATCCCGTAACACTCCTGCAACATTCCTCCACTCCTCCTCACTCCCTTCTATTCCCTCTTACCCCTTTGTTCCCCCCCATACCCCCAGATTCCTCTCTAAGCTTTTAACGGAGGACCTCCCGCGGCTTCTCGTGCTGCCGCGCCACATCAGCCTGGACTTCCTGCCACCTGGCATGGACGCTGACGAGGACACGGACGCGGGGACTGACGTGGGCGCTGACGTGGCTGCTGACGTGGCTGCTGGCATGCGTGCTGACGTGGCTGGTGACGTGGCGCAGTGGCGCACGGAAGCGGCAGCGTCTGCTGTGGTTGGGAGTATTCTCAACTCACCAGCAGTCATGAACTGGGGGGGAGCCAGCAGGAACGACAGCGGCAGCAATGGCAGCAGCAGCACCACCAGTGCCAGCAGCAGCAGCAGTGGTTTATTGAATGGTTATGGCGGTGGTGGCAGCAGCACAAGCACCACCACCACAGGATTCAGCACCACACCTGCCAACGTGGCCACCTCCTCTTCCCCCTCGTCCTCCTCCCACTCCTCTCCCTCCCCTTCCTCCGGCCGCTCCGCCTCCCCCTCCGCCTCCCCCTCCGCCTCCCCTTCCCCCTCCGCCTCCCCCTTCCCCTCGTCCGCCATCCACGCGCCTCTCCAGGGGGACACCTCAGACGCCTTCAAGGGCGAGCTCTCAGTCACGCTCTGTGAGGCCCGCAACCTCCCCACCTCGCCGCTCTCCCTCCTCTCCCTCCCCACCTCCCCTCCCTCTTCCCACACCCCTCCTTCCTCCAGCCTTTCCTCTTCTCCCACCAAACCTCCTTCTTCTTCTTCTTCCCGTCCAAGAAACAACCCCTTGGCGATTCTTACCCGGCCGCTGTCTCTCCTGAGTGACCCGTACTGCCGGCTGGTGTTTGGGGGGGCGGTGGTGGAGAGCAAGAGGAACAGGCAGACGTCGCATGCGGCAAGCCCCGGGGACCCGGTGTGGAATCAGGACTTCCTGTTCTGCGTGGAGAGCCCGAGAAGGCAGAAGCTGACCGTGGTGGTGCGGGACTCGGCGCTGTTTCAACGTGACTTGGGCTTCGTGCAGGTGGGTGAGTCAGTGCCAGCAGACTCTCTTAGGTCTAGTCTCACTCACTAGCCCCCCAAGGGCCGAGGGACCCGGTGTGGAATCAGGACTTTCTGTTCTGCGTGGAGAGCCCTCGGAGGCATCCCAGTATACATGTGGTTACCACGTTACCACTGTTACATAATGTGCCTTTATCATCCGCAACCTTCCACCCTCCACAGCTGCAGGACTGCAGTCTCCCTATGGTTACCATGTTACCACTGTTACTGTGGTTACACAACTGAGCCTTTTGAACCTCTCCCTTTCCCCCCTCCACAGGTTCCCTTGAATCAGCTTCAGGACTGCATTCCAGTCTCCATGTGGTTACCACTGTTACAAGACGGGCCTTTTGGAGTGAAGCCCGCACCTCAGGGCGAGGTTCGGCTGGTCCTAACCTACAAGTCGTACGTGGAGGAAGGCTCGGGCCGAACCACGGTCCTGGGGAAGTTCGGCAAGCCCAACAAAACGAAGGTTCGGATCAGGTTCAACGGAGATGGGGGGGGAGAGGAGGGTGGGAGAACGAGGGATGAGGATAGCGAGAGTGAGAGCGAGAGTAGTGGGAGTGAGGGGTGGAGTGATGGGGAAGGGGGGAGTGATGGAGAGTGGCTGTTTGGGCCAGGAAGGTTCAAAGGAGAAACAATAGCGCCATCAGCAGCGGCGGGAGCAACAGCAGGAGCAGCAGCAGAACTATCAGCAGCGGCAGCGGCAGCAGCAGAAGCGGCGGCGGCAGCCGCAGCAGAATCAGAAGCTGCTAAGAGTGTTGCTAAAGGGGCCAGAAAGGCTGCAGGAGAAACCCTCAAGGACCTGAGGAATAGAGCTAGTAACAGAGCCACAGCTGCTGGGGAAGCACTCAAGTCTGTTGCCAAGCCTGTTGCAGGAGACAAACGGGGGAGGGAAGCAGAGGCAAGTGTCAGCGAAACCAGCAGTGGCAGGAGCAGCAGCAGGAGGGGTAGCAAGCGTGCTAGGATAAAGCAATTCTCGTCGCAGCTGAAGAGTGTAGTGAAGGCCGGAGCGAAGGCTGCTGCTGGTAAGGCGCTCAGTAAGGCTGCTCTGGCTGCTGCTGCCGTGGCTGCTGCTGCTGCCTCTGCTGCCTCTAAGGTTGTGGGTGATGGAGCAGCAGCAGGGGTTGTTGCTGGTGGCACTGGTGATGCTGCAAGTGGTGATGTTGGATTTGTTGTGGGAAGCAGTGTTGCTGCTCCTACTGCTACTCCTTCCTCCCCTGCTGCTTCTGCTGATTCCAGCCCTCTTCCTTTGGTAGATGCTTCCACAACAGCTGCTCCTGCCGCAATTGCTACTCTTGCCACTGCTGATGCTGCTACAAGCAACGTGACTATAAAGGGAGTTGGGGATGCTGACGAAGCAGAGCCTGAGGTGCAGATCCGAGTGCGGGCCTATCCGGTCAGTGATTGGCCGAGGAGGACTGCTGTATCAGCAGCATCAACAGCAAATCCAGCCCCAGCAGCAGCAGCAGCTGCTGCTGCTGCTACTGCTGCTGCTGTGGCAATAGGTTCTTCGATAGCAACACCAGCAGAAGCGCCAGGATCAGCTGCAGCAGTGAATGGTGATGAGGAGGTGGTGAACAGTGGAGGAGACGCAGATGGGCTGTGGTGGGCTGCACCTCAAGGAGAGGTCCAAGCAGAGGTGCAAGCAGAGGCACGTATATACAACAAGGGGTGGACGGCAGTTTCAGATGATGATGGGGAAGGCAGCTCTGAAGGCGAACTGGGGGGAGATGCCAGTTGGGAGTGGGGTGAAGGCGGAGGGATGTGGAAGGCAGATTTAGAGGAAGTTCCTCTTCCTGCTTTGACCTCTGATGGTGCTGCTGCTGCTGCGGACGACATTTTAGTGCCAAATGGGGCAGCTTATAACGGAGCCAATGGTTTCGCTGCTTATAACGAGTCTGCACATGGCAACGGGCATGTTAGTGATGGAAATGCAACGGGTACAAACGGAAGGGCAGCAGGAGAATCATCATCAGTGTCAGGAACGGCAGCAACAGAAGCAGCAGCAGCAGCAAATGAGAGAGAAGCAGAAAGGTTGAACGAGGCTGCTCTTCACGCTGGTGACTCCTGGTGGCTGGAGAACGATGCTGTTACAGAACTTTTTGACGTGCTAGAGAGGCACTGAGCTGAAGCACTCTTTAAGGAGTTCGAGTTTTGAGTCGGCTCAAAGTCTGGTGGCTTGAGAATGATGCTGTTACGGAACGGAACTCTTTGACCTGCTGGAGAGGCACAGAAGCACCCTGTGTGAAGCAGTGAATAGAGTGTATAATGAATGAGTCTATAATGGAGCTGTCTAGTAGAAGACAGTGATACGGTAGGAGGCAGCTGCCTGGGGACTTGCTTGTGCTTGTTCGCAAGGTCTTTATCCCTTTTCTTGCTACCCAGTTTGTGACTTGTAGTCGCTGTTGGGCTGAGTGCCCCTTAGGATCTTTGGTAGGGTTAATCTCTGGGTAGAGTGATGTAGTAGCGGAAGCGTTTTAATAAAGGGATTCTGAACCACCTTGCGCTAGTATGTGAGGGCAAAGTAAGTTGATTGAAGCAAAGAGATACAAGAATATATAAGAGTACAAGGAATGTGAAGAGATACGTGTCAGAATGAGGAATGGATGTTGCATTGATGTTGGTTGGGGTACATATGACAAACCCTAACTTCTGTACCCCCTAAGACAAACCTCACTACAGGCTACAACATTTGACACACCCCCATAGCCTAAGTGAGGGGTGTCTAGCAAAAACAAAAAAGAGTACGGTCACAAGACCAGTCCAAAAGAAAACAAAGCTCAGGGTGGATCACAACGTCACCACACACTCTGAGCACAAGCAACAGTGGCCACAAGGCCAGTCCAAGAGATCACAAGTATATATAGTAAGTGTACAGACGAAGCAGGCAATAAACTCAAGTCTACGCATGACTAGAACCTGTGTCAACAAGGCCTAACTGCACACAACACCTCTGGTGGTCACAAGGCGGAAGCGCCTTGGTGAAGATGTCTGCAGTGTTGGCCTTGGACTCTACAAACTCGAAGCGAGCCTGTCCACGCCTCTGCAACTCTCGCAGAAGAAAGTACCTGACGTGAATGTGCTTCACTCTGCTCTCCAGTCGCGGCTCACGACAGAGGAGGATCGACGCCTTGTTGTCAGTAAACAAGGTCGGTGCAGAGCTCGGCCGCTCACCAAGGTCGGCGAGCAAGAAGGTCAACCACCGTAACTCCTGTGCCGCCATGGCACCAGCGTAAATCTCAGCCTCAGCTGTAGAGGTCGAGACAGAAGAGGAGCGCGTGGAACGCCAGGAAACAGCTCCAGAACCCAGACTGAAACAGTACCCCTGAGTAGACCTGTGAGTCTCAGCGTCGTCAGCGTAAGAGGAGTCACAGTGACCAGTAAGTACGACAGACTGCTGCCCTCCAAGAACTAGCCCCACGCCTGATGTAGTCGCTAGGTACTTCGCCACCCTCACAGCTGCCGTCCAGTGAACAGGACGGTGTCTCCCTGGCGCAACAAAGCGCGCAAGGATGCTGAGAGGGAAGGCGAGGTCCGGGCGAGTACAAGTCATCAGGTACATGAGGCAACCCACAAGCTCTGCGTAGGGACCACTAGGCTCAAACGGCTCGTCAGGAAAGGGACCAGTGAGTCTGTGGTCAACAGCTAGAGGTGTGCGCTGTACGGTGGAGTGCTGAAGCCCGAACCGCTGAAGGACCTGCTGCACCATGTGTGACTGTGAGAGTGTAATGGTGCGAGCGGCTCTGTCCCTGGTGATCTGCAGGCCAAGGTAGTGGCGCAGCTCACCAAGATCAGTGCACGTGTGTCTCTTCTGCAGTTCGGACTTCACGTCTGCCAAAGCAACCCTGTCCGAAGTGGCGAAAACGATGTCGTCGACGTAGACCAGAACAAAGAACGGTGTGGAGCCACGACGAACGAACAGCGACGGGTCGGCAGAAGACGGCTGGAACCCAAGGTCAGAGAGGGTAGAACGCAGAGTGTCGTGCCACTCACGAGGGGCCTGGCGAAGACCGTAAACAGGTCGCCTCAGCCTCCACTGGGTCCCAGGAGGGAAGGTGCCAGTGAAGGCCGAGGGACGACGCAACCAGACCTCCTCGTGTAGGCTGCCCTGAAGGAAAGCAGTGGAGAAGTCGAGAGAGTGTAACTCGTAGTCTCTCTGTGCTGCTAGGTGTAGTAACACCCGAAGAGTGGTCATCTTCGGGGTAGGTGCGAAGGTCTGAAAGAAGTCAACTCCCTCGCGCTGACTGAAACCTCTAGCCACGTAGCGCGCCTTGAAGACCGGGGGAGATCCCGGTGGCCGCTTCACCCTGTAGATCCACATGCCGTCGACTACGTTCGCCCCAGGGGGGGGAACCTCATCGACGTAGGTGCCTGTGGATCTGTAGGAGGCCATCTCTGCGTCCATGGCAGCTCTCCACTGAGAGGCCCAAGGCCCTGACACTGCCTCAGCGTAAGTGCGAGGAGTCGGAATGTCAAGGGCGTCGGGGTCACCCTCAGGGGCGAGGAGCATGGCACAGAGATGAGGGGAAGCGGCCGCCAGGAACTCTAGCTCAAACTGCCTGTCCTCTAGGGCGTCACAGCCAAGGGCAGACACACCCCCGACGGCCAGAGGACTGGTAGGAGGAGCAGCCACAAGCGTGGTGGCGTAGTCAAGGCGGCGGGTAGAGGCAAAGTCAGTAACTGCGGCAGTAAGAGCGGACACAGAGGACACAGAGGCACGAGGGTGAGTAACAAGAGAGGCGAGAATACGAGAGAGAACAGGACGGTACGTGCGGTAGTAGTCAGTGACAGGAGTAGGGAGCGACACAGTGAGGGCCGACTCAGGAGGAGACGGAAGCACAGACTGAGACGGACGAGGTGGACTAGAAAGAAGGAAGGCAGTACGAAGGTCAGTGAAGGGAACAGGAGACGAGGGACGAGCACGAGGGGAGCGACGAGTAGCCCAAGAACAAGACGGAGGAGGAGAGGACAAAGGCGGAGAACTGGGGAAAACAGCGGGGGAGGAGTCAGGAGGAGGAAACGTGGGACCGT